GTTTTTACTGATATTGTGGAGAGAAAGCATTCCTCAAACATACTTATGAAAATTAGCGCTGGAAATAATTTTTCCAGTATTACGCCGAGTTGTGTCCACATTTACTCTGTTTTGTAATGTGTGTATATTGTTGTTTGTATTTTTTTATATAATTACTATCTATACTCGCGAGTTCGTCCGCGTGGAATTTAGCTTCATTTGTCTAAAATAAAAGTAGCCTAAGTTACTCCTTATTATATCAGTTACCTGCCAATAAAAGTCCCGTCAAAATCGGTGCAGCCATTTCAGAGATTAGCCGGAACAAACAGACAGACAGACAAAAATTGTAAAAAATATTATTTTGGTGTATATACCGTATTTATATTCATATGCATGTAGTAAAAAACGGTTATTTTAATATTACAAACGGACACTCAAGTTTTATTAATATGTATAGGTTATATGATATGTTATACTAGCGCTTTGCCCGTAACATCGTTAGCCACAATTAACCGACAGACAGGCAATTTTTTATATAGATTTTTTTTTTTCCAAATCAATAAAATTCTATTCTATTTATTTAAAAATGTTAATATAGATAAATAAATCATCGCATCAACCCGGTCAGTGTGAATCAGCCGAACGTTGATTGGATTTCATCGCCACGCTCGGCACAATTCTATTTGGCGCCTTTGTAAATGAAATTAAAGTCGCCTACTCATCGAGCCATATTGTTTGCTCGACCGAACATGATAAGTTGCGTACCGGTGACTGTACCGATCCTACAAGACACTCATTAGTCCAACACGAGTGTATTTTATACTAGGAAACTGTGTCGGCTTTGCGCGGAACTGAAGTCTTAGTAAGTCCTGAGATTATTATATTATATACTATTTTGACGGTCTAGGTGGTCTACGTTTTAGCATACCGCTTTACTTCCGATGGTCGCGGGTTCGATTTCTGCCACGGCATGATAATGGAATGGTGAATCTACTTTCGTTAACGATATACGCTGGCGGAGCACCAGTGGAGGATGATAAGCTAAACATGAGGTTAGGTCAGGTAACCCGTCGTGGCAAATGGCAAATTCACTAGGAATTTATAATGATGGGTTCCAAGGGAAACCGCGTGGAGATCAACCTGACATGGTACATTGATAACAATGGGGTTTTTAGGGCACATTACACTAGCAATCCTTTTCCCATCTACATAAACATTTGTAATTCATGAGTATGACTGTTTGTAACAGTCTCGGTGTTAACTACGTATATTATGTATATATTTAGAAAAGATATAATATTTTAAGAAAGATGTTACAAATGAATGTGGATGCTTATAAGGGCAGAGGAAGGCCAAAAAAGAGATGGATGGACTGTGTGAAAGATGATATAAGAAAGGAAGTAAATAACGCGATGACTGCGAACAGGGATGAATGGAAGCGAAAAACATATTACGCCGACCCCAAATAAATGGGATAAGGAAGAAGCAGATGATGATGATTTAGAAAAGATATATAACTATGTATATATGTATATAAGTACTGTCCGCCGCTCTCTGTTCGCTTATATATTTTTAATTACACAACACATTTTAATGCAATTTTCAGCAATAGATAGAGTGATTCAAGAAGTAAGTTTATATGTATAATACATACATGTTATAATATAGAACAATTCGAGAAACACAAATATTATAATTATAATTTAGGTCGATAATTAGTAAAAATAATAATAATCACAGGACAATGATCTATCAGCGCTCAGTCTAGACCACTAGATGGAAGCTAGCTAAAGCTTGTGTTATGGGTACTAGATAACTGATACAAATACTAAATACATAGGCATTTTTTTTTTAAATATAAATACATATTATATATATAAACACCCAGACCGATAGAAACAATCGTACACATGAATACAAATGTCTCCGTGCGAGGAATCGAACCCGCGACTATCGGACGTGAAGCGGTGTGCTAAACCGCTAGACCACCGAGGTTAGCAGTCGTCAATATACTATATTGTTTATTAATCTAAATATATATAACTCAAAAATGACTGACATAGTGATCTATCAACGCACAGTCTAAACCACTAGATGGAACGGGCTGAAATTTGGCATGCAGTTAGATGTTATAACGTAGGCATCCGCTAAGAAAGGATTTTGACTATTTCTACTCCCAAGGGGTTAAAATAGGGGATGAAAGTTTGTATGAAACTTCAATTTCAAACCGATCGGGCTGAAACTTTACACAAAGCTACTATGACGTAGGCATCCCCTAAGAAAGGATTTTAATAAATTCTACCCCTAAGGGGATAAATTAATGCGAGCAAAGCAGCGGGTATAAGGTAGTATACTCTTTAATATAATTTTCTTACCCTGGCGTTGCTTATAGTTGCGATCCTTTAATAGAATGCACGAAATGAGTATTAATGATATTGAGCACGGCGATCATACAAAGTAGAGGGGAAAGGGTACTGTTAGTAATGTGGATTGATAACCCCATTGCTAGCAATGTACAATGTCAGGTTGACCTCCACGCGGTTCCCCCTGGAAACCATCGTGACAAATTCCTGGTGAGCTTGTCACGATGGGCCAACTGACCTGACCTCATGCTCATCTTATCATTTTCCACTGGTGCCTGCGTAAACCGTTAGCGCAGGAGAGTGCACCATTCCATTATCATACAAAAAAAAGACCATACAAAGTAAAGCGGTAGACCGTTAGATCACCGAGGTCGCCAAGAATATAAATACACTAGATGTGATCAGGTCATATTTGACTTTCAGTTTTGTACCCATCTTACTTGTGTTATAAACGCAATATTTGAATTGAAATATTAGATATTCAGTGATCTGTATATTATTGCATGAAATATCACAATATTCAACGCAAACAAAAATAAAATAACGCCCAATCGTTGTGACGTTGTATATAGTAAATAATAACTTATTTAATATCAGTATAGTGAAAGTAGGCGAGTACTCCAATAATATGTTATGTAAGGTATACAGACAGCTACATATATTATTATTATATTGTGATAATATTAATATAACATGATTCTGTTTTATATACCATAATTGTATGTATTATTTCAATTAAAAAAAATATATATTCCACGTAGATAATAGCAATTTTTGAAATTTTATTTACTTTAATATTTGACTTTGACGACCTCGGTCTAGCGGTCTAGCACACCGCTTTACGTCCGATGGTCGCGGGTTCGATTCCTCGCACGGCACGAACATTTGTATTCATGAGTATGATTGTTTGTATCGGTCTGTGTATTTTCTATGTATAATATGTATGTATTTACGAAATAAAAATCTATGTATTTTTATCAGTTATCTAGTACCCATAACACAGGCTTTAGCTAGCTTAACTTGGGTCTAGATGGCGCTGTGTGAATTGTCCTGAGATTATTATTATTATTTAATATAATAATTCGGGAGTAACAGCTAGCAATACACATACAGACGAATTAAAACACCACGCTCCTTGCTTGAAAGTTAAGAAAATGTAATTAATTATAATTTATATTACTTTTACTCACCCCTATGTGTGGATACACGAAGATACTACGTAATAAACATAAAGTGAATTCGACTTGGTAACACTTCTAACTTTTTAAGTGCTATAAATATTTAGTATCGCAGCCATGTACGTACATACATACATATATAATATTATATTGCTATTGTTATGAAACTCGACTTTGTTATTCCCGCTCAAAAGAAGCGGTGTGATGGTTTATCACTACACCACCGAGGTCGTCAGAGTAAGCAAGAATAGTGAAAGTATTTCTTTTGAGAGGAATATATTATTATATATGTATGGATCATCATACATACGTAAAAATCATCATACATGCCTAAAAAATAGGAATCCGGCTTCTAGCCTTAAAAATTACGATACTTCCACATAACCTTTCATCTACCTTTTCAACCCTTTACAATCCTTTTTCTTTATTTATATTTAATCTATAGCCTAGAAAATAGGATTCAGGCTTGTAGCCTTAAAAATTACGATACTTCTATACAACCTTTGATCACCCTTTTCAACCCTTTACAATCCTTTTTCTTTATTTATATTTAATCTATAGCCTAGAAAAACAGGATTCAGGCTTGTAGCCTTAAAAATTACGATACTTCTATACAACCTTTGATCACCCTTTTCAACCCTTTATAATCCTTTTTCTTTATTTATATTTAATCTATAACCTAGAAAAACAGGATTCAGGCTTGTAGCCTCAAAAATTACGATACTTCTATACAACCTTTGATCACCCTTTTCAACCCTTTATAATCCTTTTTCTTTACTTATATTTAATCAATAACCTAGAAAATAATATTCAGTTATATAGCCTTAAAAATTACTATATTTCCACACAACCTTTCATCTCCCCTTTCAACCCTTTACAACCCTTTTCCTTTAATTATGTTTAATCAACAGCCTAAAATACAGGAATCAGGCTTCTAGCCTTAAACATTACGATACATCTACACAACCTTTCATCTACCTTTTCAACCCTTTCATCATCATCATCGCAGCCCGGAAGACGTCCACTGCTGGACATAGACCTCCCCCAAGGATCTCCACGACGATCGGTCCTGCGCTGCTCGCATCCAATGCCTTCCAGCGATCTTGACCAGATCGTCGGTCCACCTTGCTGGAGGCCTTCCCACGCTGCGTTTTCCGGTCTGTGGTCGCCACTCCAGGACTTAACTGCCCCAACGGCCATCTGTCCTACGAGCTATGTGCCCTGCCCATTGCCACTTTAGAGTCGCAATTGTTAGGGCTATGTCGGTCATTCTGGTTCTTCTGCGGATCTCCTCATTTCTGATTCGATCACGCAGAGTAACTCCGAGCATAGCCCTCTCCATTGCCCTCTGAGTGACTATGAGCTTGTTGATGGGGCCCATAGTTAGCGACCACGTCTCTGTTCTTTTCAACCCTTTACAATCCTTTCTCTTTATTTTTATTTAATGAACAGTATAAAATTAGTTTCAAAATATACTTACTTATCACAGTAAAATTCAATCTCAAATTCCTGGTAGGTGAGTTCTTGAAGTCCACTCTGCACCTGTAGATGCCGGCGTCTGAAGACATCACGTTGTCCACGAACAGCACAGCCGGGCTGGCAGCGGCCCTGAAGTACGCCCTGGTCCCGAACCCACTGGTGGAAGACCAGAGCCTGGGCTGAGACGCGAGTCGACCTCGGACGTCATAACTGATGACAATAATAGTAATTTTATAGTGGTACACTTTGAACAAAGTGGCATTTTTTATACTGCGATGGTGGCATAAATCATACGGTCATATGATGCTATACTATTACTGGAGCAAACAAGAAGCACGCAAGTTCATTGCTCATTCTTCTTGTGATAGTCTGCGTTCCGAATGAGTGGTAGAATAAAAAAAGTACCAATCAAAACTGCTTATTTAAAATAAATATTTGTTTATATAAAGTTTAAAACGCACAAATGCACAAATATAATAACAACACACAAATATATAAGACAAACTGTACTTAGTAAACGCCCCATTATAGTATAGAAACATTCCTAGGTAATAAGTTACGTCATAACATATATACTCGTATATAAAGACTAGCTGATCCGCGCCACTTCGTCTGCGTTTTATTTCCCCACCTTTTGCAATATTTTTCATTGCAGCTCCGCTTCTATTGGTCGTAGTGTACTGTTACTGCTTACAGCCCTGACAAGTGGACTATCTAACACAAATATAATTTCTCAATTCGAATCAGTAGTTCCTGAGATTAGTGCGTTCAAACAAACAAACTCTTCAGATTTATAATATTAGTATATATTATTGCTATTTCTTTTTTATGTAATTGAAATATCAAATTTGTTATCGGTCTGCATGATGGTAAATCTGTACATTTAATAAATGCATAACACTGACCTGTATATTGGCTCTCCGTCCGCCTCTTTGAACCACAGTACCATAGAGCCGTGGTCTCCAGCTGCTAAGGGCTGTATATCGCATGGCAGGGCAGCCTTCTTACCCAGAACACCCTGTACGTGCGCGGTCGGAACTGCAACAAAAAGATAAACGATCCTTTATCATTCATAACGATTATCATAGTAATTTATGCTCATATAGAGATCTAGACAATATCCGCTTTAATTTCCATAATCTGTCCGTCTGTGTATCATAAAATCAATTATACAGCGTTCCGTATTGCTCTGATTATTTCAATTAAAATTACAAATTGTCTCTTGGTCTATCCGTTCGACTGACTGACACATTAATTAGACCAAGAGATGCATATGATTGTTAAAGCCCAATATATAAGTATAAAATAAAATAAAAGTAATATAAAAGAACAATATTTGAATTAGGTATATTTTTTTTAATTTGTCGCGGTCATTATTTTTTTTTATTTTTTTATTCTTTATTGCACTTTAAATTTTTTTTATCTTTTATTGCACTTTAAAAGAGTGTACATGAGGCGAGCTTAATGCCATATGGCATTCTCTACCAGCTAACCTTTGGGTAGATCTATTTATAGGTATGATTAAGAAAATCACGGAACCTTACAACTTTTTTTTTTATTAAGTTCCCGATATTTGAGAAGAATTACAAACATCATGATCGCGGAATAACAGAAGAGCAGGTAGATGTTAAATATTTTTTTGAGCGGACATATTCATCTACCTTCTTACGTCTTCGAATTATTATTGTTTTATTACAGCAACCTTTATTTATTTATTTAATTCAGGCTCATGTAGCCTAGCTATAGCTTAGCCCATATCATAAATACCTTATAGACTAACATACATAAGAAATAATAATAAAATATGTAAATAAAATTGTCTCTATTCCCAAGGGTATAAAATAGGGGATGAAACTTTGTATGAATCTTTATCAATTTTAATCAATCAGTATCATATCAGTCAATTTTAAACCGATCGGGCTGTGACTTTGCATGCATAAAGCTACTATGACGTAAGCATTCTCTAAGAAAGCATTTTGATAAATTCCACCCCCAAGGGAATAAATTAACGCCAGCGAAGCCGCGGGCAAAGGCTAGTCTATCTATATAATTTTGACTTTGCTATTTGACAGTTTGTATTCACGGAAAATGTTAAAAATGCAATTCTGAATAATATTTATTAGAAATAGCAACACGCAAGTTTCTTGCTCATCCTTCTTGTGATGAGTCTGCGATCCAAATTAAAAGTATATGACTATTCAAAAGTGCATATATTAAAATTATTTGAATAAAGATTCAAGATTTCAAGATTCTTTATATGTAAAACATGCGTGATTAGTGTAATACATATAGAGATGTTATACATATAGTAGCAATTTGTCCAACATGCTTAGCCTAGATGGCACACAACATACCTAAATGTTACAAAACATATTAAATATAATTAAAAAATAATGATGTTCTGATAATACAAAAGTACAATATAAGTATATCATCATTACATAGGACAAAACAAAATCGCTGTTGCTGTCTGTCCGTCCCAATATATGCTTAAATGTTTAAAACTACGCAACGGATTTTGAAGCGGTTTTTGTTTTAATAGATATAGTGTTTCATGAGGAAGGTTTATATAAATATAATACACGAACACCCGTGCGAAGCCGGGGCGCGTAGCTAGTAATAAAGAGAAGTTGTACATATAGAAAGAATTTGACAACATATTTAGCCTAGATGCCATACAACATACTTAATGATACAAAAATTATTAAATTAAAACGTTAAATATAATTGTTATCAAAAAAAGAATGATGTCGTTATAAAACAAAAGCTACAACTTACGTATATATAATATAAAAATAGAATAATACATTTCGTAAAATTAATCATCTAAAAAATTGATATACATATATTATAGTAATATACATTAGTCAATCAACAGCCTCTTTAATTCATATTTAATTACACTATTGAGAAGGTCCTTTAAGTAAGGTAATTTGTTATAAATTTTTGGTGTCACACATAATGTACACTGTCATGCATAAGCTTTGTCGTAGATGTTTTAAGACATAATTTATCAGAAAGTCGTGGAAAGACACAAATTGCCGGAGCCAAAAGAAGATGAAAAGAAAGTCGTGGTACTAAACTATATAAAATTTTGAATTTCGTATTTTGAGTTCCTAATTTCTATAAAACCAATATTTATTTACTAAACTACATCAAATTCTGAGTTCCTAATTTCTACAAAACCAATGTTTATTTATTAAACTATATCAAAATTTGAATTTCGAATTCTGAGTTCCTAATTTCTACAAAACCAATGTTTATTTATTAAACTATATCAAATTTTGAATTTCGAATTCTGAGTTCCTAATTTCTGCAAAACCAGTATTTATTTATTAAGCCATATCAAATTTTGAATTTTGAATTCTAAGTTTATAATTTCTATAAAACCAGTATTTATTTATTAAACTATATCAAAATTTGAATTTCGAATTCTGAGTTCCTAATTTCTACAAAACTAATTTTAGATTTTATGAAAAACCTTTCACATATACTTGTATTCATCCTCCTAATAAAAGGAGGCCAAATATTTATTTCTTCCTACTTTCCTCCTATTAAATTCGTGATGTGACTCTTGAGATGATATTAGCATTCTCTTTTATGAGGTTCCTCGCTTTGTGTCCACGCGGTAAGCTGAGAATCGTGACGTATAGAAAACTTATTGTTGGGAATGCGTGACAGGACTGTTTTCACGACATATTAGGGATAATCATGATGATGTTCCATGTACTTTTTCCATGTGTTGACATCTAAATACAGGTTACAGCTCACTTATATTTTTTATTAATACAGTATTTATTTTGCAAAAGAGGGCCATCCGCTCCATTTACGGTATGGGTTGCAGGGAGTCTTTGCATGAATGTTTTAAAGAATCAAATATCCTCACCGTTGCTTCTCAATACATCTACGAAAATATTATGTATGCCAGAAAAAATATTAACAATTTAAAAAAAGTAGGTGATTACACTAATAAATACTTACGTACTGACATACTTACGTACTTACGTAATAACAACAAACTAGTTTTACCTAAGTGCCGTTTGATGAAAGTTAGTAAATCGTTTTCTGAAAATTGCGTAAGGTTTACAATAAACTCCCAGAGTCTGTACTCAATTTGCCAGAAAAAAATTCAAATGTGTTATAAAATATTTTCATTGTTAAAAAGCTTATTATAAAATTGAAGAATTTATAAATGATAATAATGTTTTTGTAGAAAATAACTAACTTAAAATTAGATAGCGCTGACAATGTTATCAGATTGAACAGAGATTAAGTGCGTATCGGTTTCTATGTTGATTGTCGCATGCCTAATCCTTGTTGTTAATTAAATATAAGTAAATCAATAATTATTTAAAAGAGCAACACACAAGTTTCTTGCTTATTCTTCTTGTGATGAATCTGCATTCCGAATAAGCGATAGAATAAAAAAACTTGACTATTCAAAAGTGCTTATATTATGTATGTATGAATAAAGAATATTTCTGTTTCTATAAAATAATGGAGTTACATTTTTTGTAACAGCTAGATTCGAACTCGTGACCTTCAAGGGATGCTCTTAACTAAAACTCCTCTTAAAATAACACCGTTTGAACAATGAACGCAATGTCAATAATAATAACAATTCGTTGAAAAGCAACAAAGGTTTCATCGCTCCATTCTAGGGAAGCAGTTCCCACATACGGCTGGGCATATTTTAAACAGTCCTTTGCAGAATTAAGATTATTTCTATTTCTATTACAAAAAGGCTACGAATTAATTTCAACACCAGATGAATCCAATAAAAAGTAAATTCGTGTCAAAACCGCGTAGCTCGCCATCTTTACGGTGTTCATGAGAGCATAACGCGTGACCAGTCACACGGTGTATCTTGACAGGCAACGAGAATGCTCCAAACTGTACATATCGTGTTACACAAGGATCCTGTATCACCGTTTTAAGATAAGTGTGTTTTGAAAGTCACAAATTCTCGTAATGCTCTTATGGAGATCGTACGCTAATGGATAATTCGTGTGCTCAATTTTGTATTTTGCAATTCATATTGTTACTGGATCTGATCAACTTTATTCTTATTATAATACTGGCTATTACTTGCGATTTTGTCTGTGTGGAATTAAATTTAATAAAATTTCCAAAATAAAAAGAGGCATAGTACACATTATAACATTAGCTACCTGCGAATGAAAGTGATGTCAAAATCGGTATACAGATAGTTTCAGAGATTAGCATAAACAGACAGACAGATTTGAAAAAAAAACATGTTTGTTGTATAGATATAGATACCTAGTAATTAAATTGCTCTCAAAAATTATTATGTGCTTATCAATTGAAATAATTCTTCTAGCAAACCAAAACTGTAAACTCCAAACCGATACGATATTGAAACCTTATGACGAACGAATCTTACGATAAAGAAAAGATTCTCCTTAAAGGGCCAGCAAGTGCGTTGGTATTTTCAAGGCAATTCCCCTGGTATTGTTTTATTTAAAAAAAAAAAATTTTATTTCCATGCAGACGAAGCTGCGAGTAACAGCAAGTATCAATACGTCGTACAAATATAATTGCCTCAGGCCGGAATAGAAAAGAAATACTTATGCAAATAGATTCCAAACTTAGTTTTGGATATTTTCTATTGCGCCTACATATTTTCTGTATGGTTTCTCATAACATAGAGTATCCTAGCAACCAAGCATTATTTATTAAATGCTTGGTTGCTAGGATATATCATTTATATCATTAACGGTAAGGAAAAAATTAAAATTATAATGTAAAAATTTGACGTTCATAAGCGGCTAAAAAGTCCTATATGAATAAATAATAATAATAATCTCAGGACAATTCACACAGCGCCATCTAGACCCAAGTTAATCTAGCTAAAGCTTGTGTTACGAGTACTAGATAACTGATACAAGTACATAGATATTTTTTTTTCTAATTATACATAGAAAACACCCAGACCGATACAAA